TTTTTTTTTTCTATTTATTTTTGTTATCTCCCAACCCTTATTTGCTCCCGTTTCATTCCCTTTATTTTGTGTATAGAACCTTCTTTGTCGAATTCTTGCCTCCTCCAGCGTTGCCACGTGCGCGCGCACGTTTCACCTCTGACCTCTCTGCAAGGTGAGTCCTTTGTTTCGACGTAATTCCAATTGATAAAGCGACAGCCAGTTCCGACTATCATAGCGCGCCGTTCATGACGATTTAAATCGTCAACCATGCGGATGGCAAGTTTATCGATTTCTCTGTCGCTTGTTTCCATTCAGAGGGCAACAAAAAGATAAATAAAAAAGAATATTACGACAAAAAGCACCGCTGTAATGAGAGGATGGAGAGATGGAGATAAATGAAAAAAGTGAAAAAAAAAAAAATATGAAAAAGTTATATCGTACCGTAACTAACGGTACGAAGTCACGGGACGCAACTTTCTTCGGCTGGACTTTAATTGTTTTCTTTCTTCTTGTTTAATATTTTAATTGACTAATCGGAATGCGTGGACCGTACACAAATTTGTATCTCGAAATTACATAATTACGAGACTGCACTAAAAATACGGTACTGACAAAGTGTCGAAATTTCGAATGATAGCAAATTTTTTCGACTACCTACGCACAACGCGCGAATTGACATTACCGATTTCTTGACACTTCACGTTTTACGTTCAATCATATTCGGCTATTGAAATTCGTAGATACCTTTCTCGTCTTGTTTCTCTTTTTCTCATATGTATATAATTTTCTCAAGTTTTCGATTAATCGCATCTCAATTTGGAGTGGCTAATTTAATTGATAATGCTTTTCGAAATTTTAATTGCCTCCCTAACCGGATACCTTGTATCTTTTGATCGCGACTGATCTTAACGTTTGCAATATTAAATGAGCGCCCGCTCGCGGAAAAGAACATTAAACCGACAAGAAACCGGTTCTCCTTTGATCCGTCCGTGCGCGTTTACTTTTGTGCGCGCAGGTTCAATAAAAATGTTAATTCGTATCTCATTTTGATAACTTGGAAGGAACATTAAAAGCGATGAAAATAATGCAAACACATTGCACAAATTGTATGACTCTACGCTACTATTAATTCGACGTTAGGTTAGGTTTAGTTAGGTAATGGGCTTTGCCATCGACACGCACCAACACCCGCACACAATTCACATATTTTTGGACGATTAACATTCTTCATACCTCTACGAGGATGAAAAAGCTCAGCTAAAATCTCGAGCTCTTTAATGTTCAATGGAAACAATAGAAGAAGGATGCCAATATGTGTCATAGGTATAGGATAGAAAAGGAGATGAACAGACAGCTGCTAGTGGTGTCTGGCTTGTTCCATGCTTGTTTCACTGTGCCTATAGGTAGGCACACGCTGAAAACTGAAAAGCACCTTTAACACTGTAAAATCCAATACACAGTAGCGTTATTCCGACTTACGATGCTTCTCTTGTCACCACTGTTTTGCTACTCTTGAACTTTCTTCAGTGACCGTACGTCATCCTTGCGAGGACGTTTTCCGTGTTTTTGCACCAAAGTGCATTGATCGGATTGTAACGTAACAGCGAAAAGCGTCGCTGCAGGCTACAAGCATAGGAAAATGAACCGCCGACGGTCGTACATGGAAAATTTTCAAGAAATCAATAAAGTACCAATTACGGTCTTTCGATTGAGTGGACCAATTGGACAAAAAAGTATTGAGCACAACAAAGTGAAAAATTGGTACCCGGCACAATCCATACTTTTACACACGTGGGTAGCGTGCATGGCTGAAAAAAAATATTTTTTTTTTAACCTTTGACATTCGTCGTCCCACGCTCCCCTTTACACTGTACAGGGCATAGGACAGGTAGGAGATTTCTGGATGGCAAAGGGTCGGTTCAAACCATCCATCCCATTTTTGGATCAGTCCACGTGGTATCGTAAGGTAGGAGCTCATCGTAAGTTAGGACACCTTATTTACGAGTTTTACTGAGTTTTCTTCAAACTAGTATACCGGCCGGAACGTCTCCCTGCCGTGTTGTGTAAGTTGACTATGTACATAAAGAGGAAAGTATGAAGTCACATGGGTTAGCCGTATGTAGCTACACGTTGAAAGGTATGTACTATGTACGTGTAGAGATCGCAGGTTACGAGCTGGAGAATAAGGAAAGAACTGAACTGTGGGATGGGACAGGGTCATAGGTGGAAATCGGAGGGTAGGTGACGATGGCTTTGATCCCGGGAATTTATTGGATTCCTCCTATGGGCCAGAACGTACGACGCTATTTACGTTCTCTGTAACGTATAAACGTCCTATACGTGGTCGAGATTTAGGCACAGGTTAGCTTTGGATTTTTCTTTAGGTTAGGGTTAGGCTAGGTTAGGGTTAGTATGCGTCAGGTCAGGTACGAATGGAACTTAGCAGAGGGTTATTCAAGGCTATTCTATCACCCGACGATGGTTTTATCATAGAATTCAAATAGAGCGGCCAACTTCAGGTGGGCGGACTCTCTAATTCTCGGTGCAAAAGAGAAAAATATATGTTATGGGTATTCAGTAGTAATACGTATGTATAGTCGGACGCTTCGAGCTAATAAATGCGCAAGCTAGGTTTTACGGACGGTGCAAGTAAATAAGGACCCCGAGAAATATGAAGAAAGCTGGTTAAGCAGTTGATACATGGTTCACCGGTTTAAAAAAATATTATAAATGTCAATATCCCCTTGACTTCGTTATTACGAAAAATTGCGAACGTACCGGGGAACTGGCTGATAGCGAAAGATCTTTGTTTAACAGTAGCAAAAAGTAAGTAACTAGCTAAAGAAGCTGCGAGGACAAATAGAGAAAAGTCAAGCAGACGTAACAGACGGCGGG